GCATATTGTGCGACTTTTTTTCTTACTCGATAGCTTACAGTTTGATGAGATTTAAGCAGCAACACCAAGTTGTAAATATGTGTTTGAAAAGCTATTTGGGCACAGACGTACAAATTTAAAAAGGCAAAATTCCGCTTTGTAGAACAAAACGGACTTTACTAAATTGATGCTTTGATTACAGTCTTACAAAAATTCAAAAGATTGCAAATAACGTCTTCCAACTCTACTGTTTAATACAAAAGATCTGCCAGAAGAGATCCTAGTTTCAAAGGTACCTTAGGTGAGTTTTTAAAAAAGGAAGATGCTTTACAACAATATACAATATGTTCAGAAGTATCCTTATTGCAGCTGCATCCCAATATTGTACAGAATTCAACGTGATAATCGCTACGCTTAAAGCGTTTGTCTAATAAATACTTCGACTTGAAACAGTTTGTGGCTGCCTCTATGCATCAAAATACCTGCGGTTTTACGTTTCTTTTGTCCCGGCTCCCAATCCCTATCCCTGTTCCTCTGCCTTTCCCTCTTATCTCTCATTGTGCACCACAAATTGCCTACAGTCGTCGCGTCGCTATCGATGCTGTGACAGCAGCTAATTCTGCAAATAAGCCAAAGTATTTTATTTCCTGAACAAGGAAGAAAAGCTGAACTCTAATGATCAGTTTTGATATGTAAAAGCAGTGCGTTACACAAACAACTTGTTCAGGGCAATAGAAATTCGGGTGGGGAAGAAAAAAAGTTTTTTTTTTTTTGACATCTGTAAAAATTTCTCTTTTCAGAATTTCTCTTTCTGAACAGTTGTCATATTCATCGTGCTTCTGCTCTTATAGTTGAATAGTCAGAAAAGGGAGTTATGGACAATAGTTCTGCGCCAAATTCTTTTCTTCTAAGAAGACGTCTTCTGCACAGTTCTTTTAGACTGATGAAAAGTTATTTTTGTAGTCCTGGCAAAAGCCAATCATATCATCGCATATTAGTCCTCCTTAATGCTTAAATAATTTGGGTGACAAGAAGCATTCATGAAGTTTCATACCTAATAAAGAAAGGGGTCTTCTTCCACAAAATACCTATCTATATTTAGATGGTTAGCAAGCAAAGATGTAATTACTTAAATATTTATGAAGAACAAAGTGGTAATTCAAGTTTGAAAATTCTAGTCGAAAATTTAAAATTTCCTGGCTTTACAGCCCCCATTAAATATTCATACGTCGTTCTTTCCTGCTTAACCTTTTCTGGTTGCTGCTTTACATTTACGCATAACTGCTTCTGTATATGAAAACTTTAGATGATTTTTTTATTGCTGTTTTTACTGGGGGCTGCAGAAGCGCGTAAGCAGTACGTTTCGGTGTGGCCGGACGTAACAATAAAAACTAAAGGAGAAATATGGCCTCTTCCGCAATTTTTTGAGAAAACTAACAAAACTTGGCGTTTGGACCCAAATAATTTGGTAATTACGGAGAGTACTCACTGCGAAATAATCACTGAAGCAATCAAAAGATACCGTGAAATATTTTGTAAACACTTGAATATTGCTGACGATGATCCGCAAACGGTTAGTTTCGCTTTGTTTTAACCAGTTATATATCTTTTTTTCGCTTTAACAATTACGTGGTGTACAAATAAATTCCAAATGTAAAGCTTTTTGGCTTTGTTTTCTCAAGTCATTCTAGCTAAAAAACGTTGGCTAGAATTGTTTTTAAAAATTTTCGATTTTATCTGAGAAGTAGTTGTTAATCTTACAAATAATTCTCTTGAAAGTAGTTAAAACGGATATAGTACACTCTAAAGTTTTTACCTCCTAATTAAAATTACTTACAAATTGGTGAATATTTACAGTGGCATAGGAATAAATGGTGATGTTTGTTATTTTAGGAAACCTTAAAGAGTTTGGAAATAATTCTTTCTCAATGTTCGTCTGATGTGCCGCAGTCTGATATGGATGAAAGCTACAAAATTAATATCACTTCAGAGAATGCTGTCATTAAAGCTGCTAATGTTCGACTTTAATTGCTTTGAAGGAACTTATTCAGTATGCAGAATGATATTTAAGTTGAAGTACTTGTTATGCCTATGAAAGGAGTTTAGGTCTGGGGAGCATTACGGGGACTTGAGTCTTTCTCGCAACTAATACACTCCAATGAAAAAAGCGAGTGCCAAATAAACGGGGCAATTGTTAGGGACTTTCCGAGGTTCCAACATCGTGGCGTTTTGCTGGACACATCTAGGTCATCAACTCAAATTCTTTTGATTTCTTTACTAAACTTAAAGTAGGCGACTACTTGCTTGACCATAGCTTCCTTCCTCAAGTTTTTAAATTATAATTTAATATAATTTTCAATTTTTTTTTGGAATTTAGACACTTTCTGTCGTTGAACGCTTTAAAGGCAACTATAGAGTTAATGGCACAGAATAAATTTAACGTCTTCCACTGGCATATCGTAGATGAGCAATCTTTCCCGTATGACTCCAAAGTATTACCTTTGTTGAAGAAAGGAGCTTTTACACCTAGACATGTGTACACAATAGAAGATGTTAAGGTAACCGTCGAAACCCAATCTTATTAGCTACACTTCTCGCATCCCATAATTGCTACAATCTTAAAATGTACATTAACATACAGCTTTATTGGTATAGAGGCAAGAGCGTCAGAAGTTAATGTTTTCTGTAATGTACATTCAGGATATAATAGAATATGCGCGTCTACGAGGTATTCGTGTTGTACCTGAATTTGATACGCCGGGTCACGCGAGGTCCTGGGGATTTGGTTATCCAGATTTACTCAGCAGGTGTTTCTACGATGACGGCAAAGAGGATTTTTATCGCTGTTTAGTAGACCCAACACAGCAGGATACTTGGGACATTATGCTTTCGCTTTTTCAAGTTAGCTACAGCAGAACGTGTTTGTAGAAGGCTTTTTGAGTCAAACTTTTAAAAAAATTGCTGTTATGCTTAAAATATTTAGAAAGTTACTATCAGTTTTAACTTGTAGGAAGTATTTGAAGTTTTCCCAGAAGAATATGTCCACCTTGGTGGAGATGAGGCTGAGTTTTGGACCTCGCACTGCTGGAAAAACAATGAAAACATAACAAATTTTATGAAGGTGAGTCCCCCTGTGTCTAAGTGGAGGTACGAAAGTGATTCAGATCCCAAGGCTACTGAAACTATTTGCTGAGCATATTTTTATTTCAACTTGAACAAAGGTTTTTTGCAAAGCTGTAGAGTTTGCTTGGGGATATCTTCTTCCCTGTAATTATCATCTTTCAGAAGGTAATAAAATCTAGCATTTTTTGAAATACATAAAAATCTTCGAAAGTTTTGACTTGTTACGTTTATTACAAAGTACAGTGCGTCTAGACTTGTTTCGACTGTCGTTTGCTCATAACTTTTACTTTACACGGCCTCTTAAAGACTGGGTTTTTCACCAGGGGTTCAAACAAGCTACAAATCCTCTAGAAAGAAATGGATCACCAAATTTAAACTCAATAAGTTTTATACTGGATGGGAAACAACTCTAGAAGCTACAATTTACATGTTTTTGAAAAAACCCAAATGCATTTAATCCACTGATAAGCTAAAAAAGTTAAAATTTGCAAATATAATTTTGTCTGACGGAAACATTTCAGACCCAGAAAGAAGTATGAGGTATTAAGTGAAAAAGGTACAGGATCTAATATAGTATCGTCTTCATTCTTTGTTGAACTTATGATAATATACTTGACCAAACACAGGTACTCGAACTGAATGACACAAGGCAGCTTCAAGCTTGGTATTTCGACCACCTATTAGCAATTCTGAGGTTATCCAAAACTGGTCGGCAGAAGACATTCTTGGTTTGGCAGGTACGAGTATCAAATTTGATTCTTGAACTGTACAATCATCTAGTAGTTTAAATCATCTCAAATGAGCAGTAAAAAAGAAGAAACACCGTACTAAATGTTTTTAAAGACCTTTAAATCTCCAGAATCGAAATGTTTGTTTAATTATAAGTTGTCTTGTTCGAGAATATATGATGAGCCTAGTCAGTGCTGCTCTCTATTGTCTACTTCCATTTTCCGCCAGTCTAGCCTTTCTTTTAGCTTTCAGCTGAGCTCCCAACTACCTCATGAAAAATTTGTATAGTTGGGTTAAAAATTTTTTAACCTTTGTGTTTTGCGCAACATCGGAAGAGTTTGCGCGGAACTGGCATGGGAGCGTCTTAAAAAAACGAGGGAAAGGAATTGCCATAACAGTGGAGGAAAAATTGTTGAACGGGAGGAAATGAAAGATAAACATATTTTAAGAAACGAAAAAAGTTAGTTTTTACTCTCAAATTTGGGTACGCTAGAAATATTAAACACTGGAATCAAAGTTACCCAACAAGTAGTGAAATCTTTGTCTTGGAGCGTTTAAAAGTTATTTTCTGTTTTGACGCTGCAGTTCCTTTTCTCTTCTGCTGCCCTTCATACATTTTTTTGCCGTTTCAGTTTCTTCTAGGTGGTTTTCGAGCTAGTGGTTTGATCCAAAAAACCAATTTGATTGAGCTGGTTGAAGTACTGACCTCATAATTAATCTGAGATCCAGAACTGCACTCAAAAGTACAATTTGATAGTTCTTGCTGATTAGAAAAATTGGAATGTGAAAACTTCCTTTTTTTGAATATCTTTGACTACAGAAGTTGAGATATGTAGGCTTCTAAGATGAGGTAATTCATTCTGCTAAAGTTCTGGGTTTTTTTTGTAGGAAGCTGTCGAAACGAACGTTCAAGTGGAAGGTTTGATTGGTCATGTTTGGAAGGGATCCTCGCATGAGCAGTACAGCAACTATTTGAAGTCTGTTACTAGCAAAGGTTATCGTGCAATATTTTCATCCTGCTGGTACCTGGACCGAATATCAACATCTGTTGAGTGGCGAGGTTACTACAGTTGCGATCCGCAGGTAATAGCAGCTGAGAGCTATTCGTCTTACTTTTTTTTTCGGTTTTGATCTTACCGGTACTAAGATAAGCAGAAAAGCACCTTTTAAGGGCTGACGGTTTGCTGCAAAAGGGAGATCACGGTTGTTTGAGGTCCTTACAATTCATGATAGACTAGGTAGGGAGTACCTTATCCAACTGATGGATAGACAGTGACATAGTCACTGCGCAATGTGTAAATGCTTTGTAGTGGCATTTACTGCTTTTCTTACTGTTTGTCCTAATTAACGTCTGGTAGTTACTGCTGCATCGTATCTGTTGAAATGTTGGTAATACGGTGGTATTTTATTCCACTCGCTGACATACGTTATTTAGTTATATAGTTGGTTTGCAGCACTATTATAACTGTTCTTACCAGCGGCTGCAGCAGTGTCGGCAAATGCAATAGTCGCAAACAAATGTTTTACTCTTTTTGTGTAGTAAATGGAAATTAATGAAAGTTACTTACTGAAATTCAATTCGCCTTTCTAGAACTTTGAACCTACCACAATATTCTTAACATAATTAATTGGAGTTCATGTATATATTAATTTTACAGCTTGAAGTCCGTAAACTCGCGGCTCTTTTTTGTTTTCCAACTAAGTTTTATCTCCTACTAACATTGTAGTAATCTTCACTTGGGCAGTTCCATGAGTTTTCCTTTAGGCATTAGACCCAAATTTCCAAAGCCACTTCCTTCCTTCATCCAAAGGATCGGAGTTAGGGAAACCTCACAGGAATTAACCCGAAAGTTGCGATGCAATGACTGCTCTAACTCAAAAACTTAAATGTTATAGTTTTTCAAACAAATTAGTATCCGACAACTCTTCTCCGCCTCCCCCCCCCCAAAAAAAAAAAGAATTTTCTTTCAGCTTATTTCCGAATAACTAGTCTCTTTGCCTCTCAGAAGCTACTTTTCTTTACGAAAGTTTACCATAACAAAATTTTTGCCACTAGATTTATCTTTCAGATTAGTCTTAAATTATATCAGCAGTGTCTTAGGTCTTCCTCAGTTTAGTCTTTAAAACATTGTCATAATCTGACCTTCCAAAAGAATTATGGGGAATTATGTGTAGGAGATTTGCGAAAAAGTGCGAGGTAAGAAGTGACAGGCAGTAAATAAAATTACATGTCCCAGCCGCATTGAAGTCAAACATGCCCACTCTCGTAAAAGTTTTCTTTCGCTGTAAAGCGCATATCATATTTTGTTTATGAACTTCTTGACCTCTTCCTATTCATTCTTGAAAATTTCATACAGTTATGTACGCACCTTCTCAGATTTTCAAGAATTCAGTTTAAAGTATCACCTTAACTCTTAACTACGTTTCACAACAGTCGTTTACCGACGGTGGGTGATGCAGTGAGCGTCAACTATAGTTTCATAACTTTTAGAAGCCGAGTTTAGCTCTCCCTACAATTTACTTCTTGCTTTCCTAATATTTACGCAGAGGTGGCGGTATTCTGACCGCCTTCATGATGCGCCCTTTTTTACAGCAGTAATATGGGAATCTAATCAGAAACTGTTTCAAATGTTCAATGTCGTTTTCATGGCTACCAGATAGAGTGAGAGAGAAAACAATCACGGCTTTTTTGCTAAGTATTTACATTTCGGAGGCCTTTCTATACAATTTCTCTAGTCATTTTATATAGTAAGGGAATTAGTAGGTGTCATGTATATAGCTAAAATATTTTGGTTATAATTCTGAGCCGACCAAAAGGACAGAAGACATTGAAACTGTGGACAGGAAGTTTTTTGGGAAGTGACTCCAAATTATCCAGATTACAGAATGCGGTCATTTTCCATTATCCAGACCATCACCTATAAAGTGGTTACTAGAAAAACTTGAACGTTAAGAACAAACAACAGTACAGTTATGAATCACTACAGATTAATCATCCAGGGTTGAGAATCCGATACGCAAGAGAGAGAGAGGTAGGCAAACAGTAAAAAGAGCGTTTTTGGGGACAGACACAATTAACTGTGATGACCTCTGGGTCTACGAAGCACAGATACAACAAGCAACGGTTTCTTTCATAAAAAATAACTTCAAAGGATTTCAATGGAACGGCAGAGGAGAAGAAACTTGTGATAGGAGGGGAAGCAGCGCTTTGGGGCGAATGGGTAGACGATAGCAATGTAGTGTCGCGACTGTGGCCGCGAGCTTCAGCAGTTGCTGAACGACTGTGGAGTGACCAAAATAGTACGTCGGACGTTAATGCTGCGTGGCCAAGGTATTTTTCATCTGCTTGCAAACTGGGTTTGAATTTTTGAGATATTGCAAAAAATTTGGTTTTTGTATGGTTTTTTCATAAGTTTTGCTAATATCTTTTAAGTGTGAAAGGAACTGATACTATGCTCAGCTTACTAAGTGGATTCTTCTTTTTTAAAAGTTTTAATTGGTTTTAGACTTTATGAGATGCAGTGTAGAATGAAGGCAAGAGGATATCCAGCACAACCAGTTAACGGACCCGATTACTGCGAGTTTGAGTACGAATCTAACCTTCCAGTATGAAAGTTAAAGGCATAGAATGTGTAATGTAATAATAATGATGTATAACTACTGGAATAGTAAAAATGATCACCTAGATGGATGTTGAACAAGAATTTGTGCAGTCTTGCGATTACTTGTTTTTCCCATAAAGGGTGTAATTTTTAGAGTGTCTTAAGACATCAAATGTCGCAACACAGTAATAAGATAACAGTGGACGAAAACTGCTGTATGAAGCTTGAAAAAAACTAATGTAGGAGGCTTATCGAATATTTTTTTATCAATGTTTGCATTTTTTCGTGGACTCAAGTACAATTAACAACATTTAAGACAGCTATATTAATTGATTCGCAAAAGTTATCGCGACACCCTACAGAATTAGCATAACTTCACCATACAGAAGAGCGTAATTTGCAATTACTTTGTTGAAAAAATTTTTTTGAGGGCCGTTGGCTTTGAGTGAAGTGGATAGGGGTCTCGAAGAAGAGAATGATAAGATAAACAGAAGAACATAATGACAGTACTTTTTTCTGAAACTTTGCATCGTGATCTGTCGCGTGGAAGGCGTGGAAACTGTTAAAAGGCAAATTTCTTTCACAATCTTCTAGGGTTTTTAAGTACTGCTTGGCGTAATCAACTTAATGTTGCTGAGTAGGGAGTTGTTTGGTGAAAAGGTTTTGTAAAACTGTCTCTGAACTGTTTTATTTCTTACAAAAGATTATTTTTTAATATGCACTGACCGGTAAACAAAGACGAGAACCTTACAAAAATTCTGACACATATAAGAGCTTTCGTTTACTGCGTCTATGGTTTGTTATAGTATCCCGTAGAAGCAGCTAACAGCGGTTGGTATAGACTGAAGTCATTCTTGCTTCAGAGTTTGCGGAAGCTGATAACAGATGAGTTTTACGTGAATGAAAGTTTCGTGCAGATTTATAGTAACAAAGCTGCTTTGTAACTTACTGGAATTTGTATGGTGCAAAGGGGAAGTCACGCTTAATATACAGAGATTTGGTGAACACTAAGAGACTGCGTTTTATTGGTTCGCAGGGCAGTTAGTCGTTAAGTACGTGGTAGTTATTAAGTACTTCCCAGATTTATGAAGGAAAACATTGCGCTTGATAGCAGACTAAAATTCTTCTGATTCCGTATAAAGTGGAATCTTAAAAAGACATTTCCAGTTTATGAAGCAGTAAATGATAATGTCTTCAGATGTTTCATTGTTACAAAACTAGGTTACTTAAACAATCAGATTTCTGCAAGAACGTTGCCCATCAAGCGAGTGAATATGAAAAGTACCACTAACCTTTTATGCAAACAGCCAATCAACTTTACGTTACGCGTGATCCTTTTTCCTGTAAAAGTACCAGAAGTTTTTCGTGCTCTCTGTGAATTTTGGTTGAAACTGCGGGTAAATATTTGATAGAGCGAGTTGACTTCATAAGGTTTGCTCTAAGGACTCCAGATGAATATTTAGCAGAATAAAAAGATAGTTTAAAAATGACCAGCTAAGAAGTATAAGCGTCACTGGGCTGAAATCTCGCTCGAGCAATTTCAATTCAAGTTCAAAAAACACGGGCGGATCATAAGCTAAACTCGACCGAATCAGCGAGTACTCAGAAATTTTTGTTCGAATGTCAAAAACAGCCTGGCGGCATTAGAAATCATGCATTTACAAACTTGAAGTTGTCATTTTTTTGATTATGCGTTTGGACAAACCAAATATATTTGAAATTTTGCTGGTCACAAGCGGCTAGCTATGCAATTAAGTAGCTGAAAGGAAGAAACTCAGATAAGTCAACCTCTGCCGACTTTGTTTCATCAGAAAGCAAAAAGTTTTCCCGACCACACCCTGTGTCAACCGGAAAATTAATATCCGCCATTATAAGCGTCTAAAAAACTGAGTTTGCGCTAAATTTTAAAACACCTAAACTGAGAAACTTGAGACTGAAGTCAATTTCGAATGGTAAACAGTAATATTATGATATTGAAGGATTATATCCTGTAGGATTGCATATATACTGCAGATTTTGAAATTGAATTTTTGGTAGCTCACTGGCAAATCAAAACTTGGGATGAATTTAGTTTACTTTTGCTTAAATCCTGAACATTTGGGCAATCCTGTATTTGTTCAATTCCCCAATCCTAATTTAATTTTAAGCTGACCTATTGTTAGAATAACTTATGTAACACGATAATATCAAGAGACGTTCTATTGGTAATGAAGTTTACGAACATATGGTTATTGGAAGACCATAATCAACACTAAGCAAATGTCGGCCCTGAATGTTGTTAGTATTATGGAATAAGGACAAAAACTGACTTCGCAAACGCACTTTTGTAAATATCCGTGATTTAGAATTAATACTTGAAAACTTTTTTGAACATATTCTTAGCAGTTTTTGTAAAAGTTAGATCGGAAAATAGCAGATTTGCGGTAAATTTCAGTATAACCAAATTTGTTTTATTTCCAAATTGTTATTAAAAAATTACTGCATTTTCTTTTTCCTTCCTATAAGATTGCTGATCAAGGCAATCTTTAAATTTCTGCGATCAAGAAATCCTTTAGAAACACTCATATAACGCTAACGTATAGTCCGAACCGTTTTGCTTTTTTTCTTTTTTTCTTTTTGCCTTCTTTCTCATTTTACAGCAGTTGTTGTGACAATATCAAAATTGTTTGTTGTTGTGAAGACATATACACTTTTAGATTACTGTGTTCATCTGATCCTTTTCCTAAATTGCCATATATTAAAAACGGTTAAATTGCATTCACAAAAATTTATTTATCGCACATGCACCGACTCTATGATAATTTGTATTTTAACGGTGATATAACTGTGTCAATGAGATAAGAAAATATGGAAAATTTTGTTACCTAGTTTTGAGTCATAAAATGAAACGTTACCAATTGTTTCTTCGACTATTCGGCTTCCCGACCAGTTGAGAATCAATGTTAGCTGAGTAACAGAAACAATGGATAACTCATCGAAAAACCTATAAACAGAAAGAAGCAACTTTTGTTGAGAACAAAAGAAAAAAAAATCCTTTTCATACGTTTGTGGACAAATCAGAAAACTAATTGTCAGTGAGCGGGAAAGGAATTCTCCGTTGTCTACTGCATTTTCGCCTGCATTAATCAATTTTCGTAATGCTCTCTCCGTTTCCCGTGTTCTTATTCCCCATATTAGTCGTCCGAATGGGCTGCGGCTCAACCGGGCCTCCATGTACTACCGTTGTTCACTGCTGCAGCCGCTGCTGCTGTCGTCGCTACTACAGTTAGGATGTTCGCCTTGCCAGTTGCCATCTCTAACCCCGCAGTCGACGGCTTGTCGGCTTTTCGGGTAGACAGCTGCAGCGGAATTCGTGACGTCTTAGAACGTCAGTTTTTGGCAACATACTAGATTTTTCATCGTTTGTTTATTTGTCTATGGCGAAGTTTCAGTTATATAAGGTATATATGGACGTAGTATTAGCATAGAACGGATTTTTTTTTCACGCTTGATTGCGATAAATAAGATTGTAAGGGAAAAAAGAAAGAGAAGAGAAGTCAACAAAAAAGGTAGTTATTTTCGTTTTTACTTGCATACTTTAAATGATTTGTGCTTTTAGAGAAGTTCGGGGTATTCGTTATCAGTTGATACCTGTTTATGAGCTTATGGATTTATTTGTTTTTGGGTGTCTGTGTGTTTGTAAAAAGAAAAAAATTTTTGTTGACATTTTGATTGCCGGATATTTGTTTCCAATTTTGTTTTTATTTTTACTTCAAAATTTA